TCTGGTGTCCTCTGGATTATTATCTAGATGATTGTTTTAATTTTCATCTGTACATTTTCAAATTAAAGTAAAAATAAATTTCTCTAAATATCTCAAATAAATACATAAAAGAAGACCCAAGTCATTCCATGACTCTAATTCAGGCCTCAAAACAGCAGTAACAGTAGCACGCATGTCGGCCTCTTCCACGAAACCTGGATTTTCTGCATATCCCTATTTATATACTGTTGGTTATTTTATATTTGTGTAAATACATACTTATGAATTGGGTCTTTTCTTTCCTAGCCCGTAATAGCTATTAAATTTTGATAGTGGCAGTGACAAAATCCCTTTACCTACATACTGTGTCAGCTCATCTAAATAGTTACTTTCGTGTTTGTGTGTCTCTATCTGTATGTATCTAATGTGGGCCTACAAACAATGTTTGTGCCAGCATTTGGATGTATCAGTCACACAAATTTCCCTTTATCATTTAGAGAGAGAAAATAACCCGTGAGATTTATATGGACATATATTGTATTATTTTATTAAGTTTCCCTTTGATATGGTTTGGCTGAGTTCCTGCCCAAATCTCATCCTGAATTGTAGTTCCCATAATCCCTACGTGTCCCTGCCTCCCCGGTGGGAGGCAGCTGAATCATGGGCCGGTTACCCCTGTGCTGTTCTAATGTTAGTGAGTGAGTTCTCATGAGATCTGCTGGTTTTATAAGGGGCTTTTCCCCGTGTCCTCGGCACTCACTCCATCCTACCACCTTGTGAAGAAGGTGCCTGCTTCTCCTTTGCCTTCTGCCATGATTGTAGGATTCCTGAGGTCTCCCGAGCAATGCGGAACTGTGAGTCAATAAAAACTCTTTCCTTTATAAATTGCCCAGTCTCAGATATTTCTGTGTAGCAGCATGAGAACGGACTAATGACTAATACACCCCTGTTGGTGGTACTCCGTCCACTTCCAAGTTCATATACATGTCTGTTTCTATACTCCCTTTTCTGTTCCATTCATCTTGTCTACTCTGTGCTGTAGCATTTTATTTCCATCAGAGTAAATATGGAAACTTATTAGAGTTAGCCATCCTTTTCCCAAGCTTTTTTGGAAGTTTTCTGTAATCCTTGTTTTTTTTGTTTTGTTTTGTTTTGCTTTTTTTGAGACAGAGTCTCAGTTGCCCAGGCTGGAGTGCAGTGGCACAATCTCAGCTCATTGCTATCTCGGCCTCTCAGGTTCAAGCGATTCTCCCACCTCAGCCTCCCAAGTAGCTGGGGTTACAGGTGCCTACCACCATGCCTGGATAAGTTTTGCATTTTTAACAGAGATGAGGTTTCATCATGTTGTCCAGGCTGATCTTGAACTCCTGACCTCAAGTGATTTGCCCAACTCAGTCTCCCGAAGTGGCTCCTAGGCACGAGCTACTGTACCTGGACAGTTTTCTGTTCTTCTTGAACCTCTGCTTTCCATATATATTACAGAGTCAATATGAAGGGTTTGAAAACCTTGTTAGATTTTGTGTGTGTGTGTTGGAATTATAGATTAATTTTCAGAGAATTGGCCTCTCTTGAGTCTTCTTATTAAAGACTATGTTTTGGGAGGCCGAGGTGGGTGGATCACGAGGTCAAGAGATCAAGACCATCCTGGTCAAGATGGTGAAACCCCGTCTCTACTAAAAATACAAAACATTAGCTGGGCATGGTGACGCGTGCCTGTAATCCCAGCTACTCAGGAGGCTGAGGCAGGAGAATTGCCTGAACCCAGGAGGCGGAGGTTGCGGTGAGCTGAGATGGCGCCATTGCACTCCAGCCTGGGTAACAAGAGCGAAACTCCGTCTCAACAAAACAAAACAAAACAAAACAACTGTTTTACCTTCATTTATCCACTTCTCTAACATTCTTCTTTTCTTTATGTAGATATATATTCCTGATCTACAATTTTCCTTCCCTCTGAAGAATTTCTTTAAATATTTCTTACAAAGCAAATCTATTGGTGAAACATTTCTTCAATTCTTGTCTATGAGAAAGTCTTCATTTCTCCTTCAATTTTGAGGGATAATTTCATCACATACAGAATTCTAGGTTGGCGGCTTTTTTCTCTTAGCACTTTGGACATTTCATTCCAGCACAGTGTTTCAGGTGGACTGAACTTAGGTAAATGGGCCTTTCATGTAAGTTTTTATGTTTATCGAAGCCCAGGAGCTAGTCTGTGTTCCTTGTTTGCGATAGTTGTAGGTTTCAGAGACTAAGATTCCCTTTAGTAACTGAGTTGTTTTCTCTGCTGTTGTCTTCGGGTTTCCCTCCAAAGAACTCTGTCTTAAATACCACCTGTGCCACTCGTAAGACAGTGTTAAACTGAACCCATGTTAATGTTGTGGTAAGGTGGTGGGGGAAGGGGCGTTGCATAGTTCTGTGATTAGGTCTTACTCTTTTAGTTAGTACCTAGGGTGTGACCTTCACAAGTGCTTCTTAGTGTCCCCAGCCTCCCACTGTAGGTGAGACAAGAAGGCTAGAGGAGCCTGGAGTTGGGTATTTCCCTTGCCCGGGGAGTTAAGTTCTGCTAAAACCCCATTAAGTTAGGCTGTTGTAAAATAGTTTCCCTTGAGTCCAGACCTTTGTTAAACAATGCTCTGGACATACTTCAAAATAGTAAATTTCCTCTTCCCTTACTGAAGTACCGGGAGATTTTTTCACATTCACTCTGAGAAGTGGTGTTGGTGGGGAGCTCCTGACGGTAACACTTAGTGGCTCCCCTAACGCTGGGTCTCCAGGAGTGACTAATCTCCTGAGCTAGTCCATGCTCAGTCTCCAGCAGTCAGTCAGCCACCCTTTACCTGCTGTTCTGGTGGCTCCAGTGGTGAGTCCTGCTCCTGGTAAGCTGTGATTTTCCAAATTTGCTGTCCCTCTGGTTCTGGGCTTGATGGTTTCCTATGACTTCAGTTCTTTGATGTATCTAAGAAAAGTGGTTGATTTTTAGTTGTTCAGCCTTTTCTTTGTGGTATGGTTGGTTGTGATGATTTCCAAGCTCTCGACATGTTGGTCTAGAATCCAGAAGTCCATCAGAGACTATAGTACCTGTAAATATATGCATTTACATATACATACACACAAATATGCACATGTATACATTTATATCAATATATATATTCTTGCTAAGATCATGATATTGCCGTTGTCAACAGGATATTTTTTGAGTTATTTGATTGGTTGTTGGAGGTACGTATAAATGTTACTGACCATGGTCCTTGGGCTCTCAGTGCAATAGAAATTGACGAGGCCAAAAGAGTTTTCCCAAACAAGGCTTCATTGGAGCTCATGCATAAGGGAAGCATCATGAGAGAAAGAGAATTCCCTGACTGCCTCTCTGAAGAGCTGATTGGAATTTTTATTAGGCAAAGTGCAGGAATTGATAAATAGGGTAGGGTATGCAGGCTGGGCTGGGCAAAGCGGAACGTGAAGGGTCAGGGTGCAGGTCAGCACAGCTGGTTGCGATGTTTATCTTAAGAAATGGACCCGTGGTGGTCTGGCCAGTGGCACAAAGCTGTCATTCCTTCCTGAGGGGGACACTCCATGGTTGGTTTTGGATCTCCAAGGCCAGTTGTTGGAATTCATTAAGTAAAAGGCACGGTTAAACATGGGAGCGTAGAGCCAGAGCGTGAGTAAAGCCTTGGGGTTAGTGGGTGAGGCATCAGTGAGGCAGTGGTGTGGGTTTTGTGATTAGGGGAAATGCGTGGAAGAATGTGTATGAAAGAGTGCTCTAGTAAGGGTGAGCTGGAGCCAAGCCTTGTCCCTACTGTGTGTCGTAAATGCTGTTGATTTTTCTGTGTTCTTCTTCTGTCTGACAGGCTTTCTTTCCTGGCCATGTTTAATTGTTTTTGAATTTCTTGAGATGGGCTCTTAGATCTTTGTTTCAGTCTTACTCCTCTCCTGATACACAGTCTTCAGCCTTTAAGATAGCTGTTGGTCATGTTGATATCGTCGAGAGCAGTGTGTATTTCTTTCCTTTGCATAGTTTTTGCTTCAGACATGACTGCAGGTTTGGAGTTCTCAAAATGCTTTGGTGGAGCACGGTATCTTTGGGTGATGTGACCGGACATCACTTATTGGAAGAGGGTGAACAAAACACCACTGGTTCTTAGGGTCCTCATAAAAATATCGAGATACACTACTGCATGTACATTTCCTATGTCAAGTGGAGACAGAACATGTTAACGCAGATGGCCACCAAGCACGTATGGAGATTCTTGCCTGTGTGGGACGTTGATTTGTTTGTAGGGACAGCAAGATGTCATCTGGGTGTGCACAGATTCTCCTGCTCTTTTACCAGTATAGAGAGAACGAGCACACTAACAATGGGAATTTCGTTTATTGTTACTGAAATAATTCATCAAATGAAACAGTCGCTTTCATTGTTAGGCTAGAGTAGGGATTTATTCTTTCTTTTTTGGTATTTTGGAGGAAAATACTTGTTTATTTGGGTTACATTTCACTCCACGTTTGTGCTGTGATGTGACTAGGAGCTGACGGCTGGTTTGGGTAGGGATTTACATCTTTGGGGTCTGTTTCTAAAAATAACCAGGACGAGCTTGTAGTTGTTCGACGTATTTGATAAAACATGGGGCCTCTGTGTCTCTTCTTTCCCCAACATTTTGACTGTTGTTTAGGTTACACTTGACGTGTGATCATCAGCATATACATATCAATTCGATGGTTTCATGCCAACCTGTGCTGACTAGATTTTGCATTACATTCTGAAGTTCGTTTCATAGACCCTGAAGGTTTTGAGAAATTGCTGTTTTGATTTTCATGATGTCATTTTGACCTGACGGCTTTTTTAGAGTTAAATGAACTTGGTGGTTTATGAAATGTCATGGAGAGTTTAAATCTGGGATAAACTTAGCCATTGTTTTTCTACCCCTTTGATTAGGGATTCTATCTGTGGAAAAAGATGTAGTTTGTGGCTGATATCAGTTTAGTGTTGATAGAGATTGGAACTGAGTGTTCTGCGTGCTTTCTTTTAGGTCGTTGAGTATATCCTGCCACCCTTGGTGTCCTTGGTCCAAAGCCAGAATGGTAAGTGTGATGTCAGCAGCAAGAATTCCATCAGCTACACATTCCATTTTCATTCTGTCTCCATGGAGCCATGTTCTTGGCGTTGTGTTCTTTCCCAGTGGAGTGGAGACTCTTCAGCTTGCGGTTGCTCTCAGAAACTGCATCTCTACTTGTGAACCAGGAGTTTGGGGATGGCAAGGAGGCGGCCGGCGTTGACTCTGACAGCAGTCTTCTGGCTCTCATTCGAGATGTCTTACTTCCCCAGTAAGTATCATGCAGCTGTATTCATGCAGGGAAGGGTGGGCTATCCAGGAGGCTCTGTCGAACTAGGTTCAGTGACGGCGCTGGGTCTTCCTGGCTTTATATTTATACACATATGCTTACGTACTCATTGTAAAAAAAGTTTAGAGACAGATGCAGTAACTGTTAGCCTGCAGAAGACTCAGGAGAACATGATTTTGAAGTTACACAGATTTTTTTTTTTTTTTTTGAGACGGAGTTTCACTCTTGTTACCCAGGCTGGAGTGCAATGGCGCCATCTCGGCTCACCGCAACCTCCGCCTCCTGGGTTCAGGCAATTCTCCTGCCTCAGCCTCCTGAGTAGCTGGGATTACAGGCATGTGCTACCATGCCCAGCTAATTTTTTGTATTTTTGGTAGAGACAAGGTTTCACCATGTTGACCAGGATGGTCTCGATCTCTTGACCTCGTGATCCACCCGCCTCGGCCTCCCAAAGTGCTGGGATTACAGGCGTGAGCCACTGCACCCAGCAGTTATACAGATTTACAGGTGTTCATGGCTCAAGGGGTAAGGGTTATGATTCAAGATCAATATTACAAGACTATGGGAACATGAAATTGAGACTTCTCCTGGTTGTACTCGGGTATAAGTGAGATAGAGGTGATCCCTTTCCCCAAACTCTTGGAATTGAAATTATGTTTAGTTATGAGCAGGACTTTCTCAGGGGTTCGGTGGAGGTGGAACAGGTAATGAGTATTCATGAAGAGAAAGGGGTTTTGTGTTCTTTCACTCCATCGCTCGTAGAGCAAACACACAGCAGGATGACTCCTGAGACCATCTAATGCAAACGTGCGAAACTCCAGAGAGGACGCTGTCAATTTTATCTAAGTTAGTTCCCAAACCTGCATGTTATATGTCAGTATTAAAGAAGATTTTGCGAAATTAAACCAATGCTAGATTGTGTATTATGCATTAATATGCTGCCTGATCACGGCTTTCTTCAGGCCTGGGCCACAGTTGGGGTCAGCTCCGCAGATTTACAAGAAAGGCAGCCTAATGAACACTTCCCTCTGTTGTTGCAACTTCTTAAGATCTGTCCTCGTCAAAAAAAAATAATGATCATAATAAAGAAACTGATGTAATTACATTCTGATTTTGGCCAGTGTTAAGAGTTTGAACTCTCTCATATAATACGAGGTTCACATTAAAGAAAACCCAAATAACTGAAATTGCCGGTTGCTGTGGATGAAGCACTCAGCCACCCCAGTTGGTTGAGCAGGTGCCTTTCACTAAGTGTGTGGCTGTTCTGTGTCCACCCTCAGCCTTCCAGTGTCTGGGGGAGCCCGTCCTGACTGGCTGGAGCTTGGTCTGTAACGGCTTGATTGAAAGGCCCGACTCTTGTGTCTTTTTTCCTTTTACACTCTGCAGTTGGTTTCAGGGAGAGCTCATTAATATGTACTGTAAGAATACTTTTGATGCCCAAAGTAAGACAATTATCTGTATGAAAAAATTCTGAAACTGTGTCATGTGGAGTTTGCTCAATGATGAGCTGTCAGTAAGTACCTTTTCAGTTATATTCGTGATGTATGAGTGTGTGTCTGTGCTCTACACTTACGTGAATTCAATAAGTGATTATACCCTTCTCTAATGGGATTAATGCTTTTAGTGTGTTCTATGTTTTGAAAAGTATTCGTGTATAATTATAAGCATATTTCAGAAAAGGAAATGCCTTAAACATAGTTTTCGCACAAAATATGATACTCAAAGGATGTTCATTGAGAGCTGAATTCAGTGGCTCATGCCTGCAGTCCCAGGTACTTGGGAAGCTGAGACTGGAAGATTGCCTAGGCCAGCTTGGGCAGCATAGTTCACAAAAAACAAAAAGAAAAAGAAAATACGTGCTTTGGATATATGCTGTGTAAGAACTTGTAGAGAAGTGTTCTCAGGACCTGAGCTGTCTGCCCTGCACGGTAGGGATCACATTTACTCAAACAGGACCTCACAGTCCAGGCATAGATTTTTTGCAGCTCTGTTAATCTGAAACCACATTTCTGTATCTCTGAAGTCTTCCCGGTTTTGGCACAGTTTATAATAAAAAGTATTAACTCTAATTCAGTGATCCTGTGTTACTGATTCGAGCTGGGATTAAAGATTTCCTTTGGTGTGAGTCTGTACTTATTCCAGAGACGAGGCATTAAAGAGGAAAATGCAAATGTAAACCACACGATAGTTCAAGAACATAAGTAATGTAGATGAGTTCAAGTTTTTATTGAACAACTTGAAATGCACTTCAGATAACAGTGCGGAATTTATCTGGATGTGATGTGGAGAGTTTTCAAAGCTTTCAGACTGATTTTGTCGTGGAGTGTAAGCCTTGGCCCTCATCTCAGTCTCCAAGCCCTGGTTTTCTCATCTGTAGAATAGTACCTACCTCAGATGATCATTGTCCAGATTACATAGGGTGCTTCTTTTAAAACACTTAGTACAGCGTATGGCAAATGGTACCCTGTTGACAAGTGTTTAGTACTGTCACTATTATTACCAGGCTCATTATTTTAATCTCATGTTCATCTTTAAAGTGAAGATCATAATAGAACAATAATAGTAATGGTACATACTTCATAGAAATGAATTGGCCATTAAAATAGATAATGTTTATCGTGCCTTCCTGGCATATATAGTAAGGGCTAATAGAAGAAATGTAAAAAAAATTGTAAAGGAAATATAAGTAACACATTCGTTTAACTTCTTTGACTCTGGAAAACTAGAACCTTGGCAAGGAGTTTGATCTTTGAAGGTACCTCTTGGTAAGAATAAGTTTAGAAATACTAAAAATGGAAAGTCCATGTTCTCCACTGAGTATGTGAACATAATAGCTTAAGAATGAAGAAGTCACTAGAGTCCATGGGAACCGTATGGTGCCCACTTCAGTTTAGCAAGTAGACACATTGGTGTTCGTGTTTTTCTTTTGTTAAAGGTTTCACCCTCTTTTGACCTTAAACGATACTTTTGATAAAGCCAAGGGGACACGCTTTTCATGCACATGTACGATAGGGACCCCAGCTTGCACAGGGAGGTGTTTCATTAGTCAGCACTTTATTTGCAAATAACACCCAATTCAAATTAACTTACAAGATAATTTGTTTGCTCACATGACTGAGAGGTCAAAGACTTGTGTAAACAGCTGGATTTAGGGGCTTGATTTCTGTCTGTGATACTCCATGGATACGTCTTTCTTTCCATCTCTTTGCTCTGCCTACATCTTCTCTGCTTTGTTCTCAGATAGACTCCTGTTCTCAGCCACGTGGTAGTTAAATGGTTCCTGGCAGAGAGGGTAATCCTAGAGAAAGGGTGGATGTCTTTTCTAATACTTCAGGAAACAATCTCAGGAAGGGCAATAATTTAATCTTGTTAAGTACCATGTAATACCCACGTGCCAGGTGCTTATCACAACTGCTGTGTAATAGGAACAAAAGCTCAGTTGTAAGAACAAATCTCAATATGATGGCTCTCCAGAGAAACAGAGCCAATAGGAGCTCTGTGTGTGTGTGTGTGTGTGTGTGTGTGTGTACACGCACACACACATACATGAAATAAAGATTTGTTTTAAGAAATCGGCTTGCATGTCACAGAGGCTGAGAGGTCCCAAGGTCTGCGGTTGACAAGCTGGAGACAGACAAAATTACATGCTAAAAACAGACTTAACTGCAGAATATTGCCAAAGAATGCATAAGAAAACCATAAACACAAATGCAGAGCAGGAATCAAAAGTAGAGCCTGTGGTGGCGTCGTTGCTTTCTGAAAGCTGGCGGGCTCAAGGCTGAAGAGGAGCCGGCGTTTCTGCTCCAGTTAAAAGGCACAGGAGACCTCTGTCCCAGTTCAAGGCAGGCAGGCACGAGGGGTTCCCTCTTAGTCTTTTTGCTCTATTCAGGTCTTTGATTGATTGGATGAGATCCACCCCTGTTAGGAAGGGCCGTCTGCTTCCCTGAGTTTACTGATTCAAACGTTACTGTCATCCGGAAACACCGTCACAGCCACACCCAGAGTGATGCCTGCCCAAATGTCTGGGTACCCTACTTAGTGAGTAACTTGACGCATCAGGTTAACCATCACAATGTCTATCAAAATACTGTCAATGAACTCATTACTATTTAAATTGATGCATTAATTTTGAAAAATCATTACCCTTTCTCAGTGTGCATGCTTTCTAAAGAATGAACTTCAGAGTATTTGCTTACAGCCTGTCACATGTGGATTATAATACCATTTGTAAAGAGATAGTATTTGAGTTAGACTTTGAAACCTGAGTGTGGCTGGAGAGGAAACAAATAGGGCTGGTGGGCGCACTGGCTTGGGCCTGTAATCCCAGCACTTTGGGGGGCCCAGGTGGGTGGATCACTTGAGCCCAGGAGTTGAGACTAGCCTGGGCAATGTGGCGAAACCCCATCTCTAGAAAAAAAATACAAAAATTATCTAGGCATGGTGGCGCACGCCTGTAGTCTCAGCTACTCAGGAGGCTGAGGTGGAAGGATCACCTGAGCCCAGGAAGGTCAAGGCTGCAGTGAGCTGTGACAGCACCACTTCAGCCTGGGCTACAGAGTGAGACCCTGTCTCAAAAGAAAAGGGGAGCAGGTACCCCAGACAAGAAGGGGATAAGCAAAGCTATGGAAGAGGCAGCATACTGGGCAGGAAGCAGGCTAGTTTGTTTCCTGCAGAAACCTGCACATTGAGAGTCAGCTGAAATAAGCTGGAGAGACAGTATTTTCTCTCTTCATCAGCTCATTTACAACCTGATACTAAACGCATCTGATTTCACAGGCATGTTCCTAATTGCTGGAAACATTAATGACCAACATCAGGATAGCCTTTGCCTTTCCACAGAACTTACTCTCTGACAGCTCTAAGAATTTCAGAAGTTTTTGTTTTTCTTTAACTGAAGAAGTGTGTAAGTCATGTATGTAAAAATGTTTACTGAAATACTAATTTTATCTTGAAGCCACCTTTATTAAGCTCTGCGCCTGTAT